GTATAAACCTATTTCTGATAGTACCAAGGTCCTGCTAGAATCACCCATACAAATCAACCAGGAATAACCCACCGGATGCCTGGGAGCAGAAATGTAGGCTTGACATGGCAACAAAAAGACCCTAATAGTGTTAGTGTCCGGTGATCATGCCTTGAGAAACAATTCCATAGATGGGAGGCCATAACCCAACGGCCTCTCCTGTCTCTCTGCCCTTGGAAGATGTTGCTTTCAGCCTGCGGCAAGGCTCATGATGGGGAGATGCTTTGTCAAATCAGAGATAAATGTTTGCTGTTGTTCTTTTTAATTAGAACTGGTGTCGTGCTGGCTGTGGACTTCTGAGTGTGATGATGAAGAAGCCAAACGTTGCTGTGTCAAGAACTGGGCTCAGCTGCCCTCTCCCCAAAAAATATCACATCTCTGCATAATTCACATCAGAGACATGTCTAGAATGTCCCTCATTCTCGTCTTCCTTCCGACATAAACTGGAGGATCTAGAAACCCAGAAGCAAAGAGGAGGTGTGTTGGTTTTCTAAAACAAGAAGAGGTGAAGCTCGACTTCCCTTGGAAGCTACTGGCCAAAATCCTGCTGCTTCAGAAACAGAGTGCAATTTTACTATGGTAAATGAAGCCACTATGCTAAAGGAAGCGATATTCAGTGTGGTACAGCGGAAAGAGTGACAGACGAGGACTCAGGTATCCTGGGTTTGAATCCCCACTCAGCCATGGAAGCTCCTTGGGGGTGTGGAACTGGGAAAAGTAAGGTAAGGATTCCCCTTAACATTTAGTCCAGTTGTGTTCGACTCTAAGGGGCGGTGCTCATCCCCATCTCCAAGATGTAGAGCCAGCGTTTGTCCGAAGACAGTTTCCATAGTCACGTGGCCAGCGCAACTAGACACAGAACGCCATTACCTTCCCACCATGGTGGTACCTATTAATCTACTCGCATTTTTACATGCTTTCGAACTGCTAGGTTGGCGGGAGCTGGGACAAGTGACGGGAGCTCACTCCGTCGCCTGGATTCGATCTTATGACTGCTTGGTCTTCTGACCTTGCAGCACAGAAGCTTCTGCGCTTTAACCCGCAGTGCCACCCACGTCCCCGGAACTGGGAAAGCCACTCCTTAAATAACTCACTTTGGAAGCCTAATCAGAGTCACTAAGTCAGTTCCGACTTGATGGCACATAAAAATAACCAAAGGAAGTCACAGTTAGAGTAGGCATATTTGAATCAAAGCAACATACAGAGGAGATGAAGCAGAAATCCCCCTCGATTCGAAAGGGGCTTTTCTGCTGCGATTTACTAGGCTAAACAACAGGATTTTGTTCGAAATGGATAGACTGTTAACCCAGTCCCGAGGGAAGTGGCCATTCTGTGTTGTGAGCCTTGGCTGGTTTTTATTATATTCCAGGACACTCACTTGTTCCGAAATCTTTCTCAAAGATAATGAAGAGTAAAACTGGAATCTATGTGTAGGGAGATCGCTCCTTGGTGTTGATGCGTTCCTTAAATGAACTTTCTTCCTAGCTTTTTTTCTCCAACCCCTCTGAGATGCCAACTTCCCAAACAGATTGCTCTTGACGGGGCCCCGATTACGCCAGACTTTGAGCCCCTTCCAAGATTCATCTGCTCTTGAATCACAGACAGTTTAGGAAGTGTGTCTACCCAACAGGAAGAGTTGTGGGGAGGGCGGACAGAACAGCTCGGGTGCCACTGTGAGACATGTGGCTAATTACCATCTTAATCAGCCTTGTTGTGTTGATGCAGGAAATGAGTTATGGTTCGCTCATCAGTTGTAACAGGAGAGAGAAAGAGGAGAAAGGTGTTTCTTAAAAACTGTTTCCTAATCTGGTGGCCTCTTCCCAGAAGGTTTGAGCTGCAAGAAAAACACATGATTAATAGAATCCCATCACCAGCAGTACCAGGTGAGGGAGAAAAAGGTACTGGGGTGGGGGGAAAGCTAAAGTTTGGGAGACTTTTCCTTCCACTTCTGCGTATTGTCTACCTGGAAAACACTGAAACGGGTTGGCATAAGTCGCATGGACTGAACAGGACATCATGATGATGATGCCTACAAAAGAAGGTAGAAGAAAGGATGGGCATCCTAGGACTTCCAGCTTCATCTAATACATGTTTTGTCCTAATTTGAGACTTCTGTTGCAAGCAATTGGCTTAATTGTTCTTTTTTGGACTACAATGTCCAGGTTCCCCTACCCAGGTTAGTTCTTGGACTAAAACTCCCAGAAGCGGTCACCACTGGCTACACTGGCCAGGATTTCTGGGAGTTGTACATAGTCCCGAAACATCCAGGGACTAGAGATGGGGACAAACTGGGAAAATGACACTCCCCTGTCTCCCTGCGCTGCTGACCACTCAGTAGGGAGACTTGTCGTCCTGCCTCCTCAGCTCAGTGGTCAGCAACGCAGGGAGGCGGGGAAGTGCTGGCTGGGTTACTTCTGGGATTATTGCGGCGTGAACGACGACAGCCACATGCGTAAGTGGACTGGCTGATGGCAGCGATCTTCATATTCATCTCCCCGGAGAGATGGACGCAATTATCCCATCTCTATTCACACTAGAACAATCACAATACACTGAAGGTGAACATTAAAGGAGAGATTTAGCCAAGCTTAGTCAAGGAGGACCTTCACCAAATCAGTCTTCCTAGAGAACATGTCCGCCAGACCTGGTCTTCGCATGACAGAATGCTTGATAAACCTCAAAGTAACCCTCGGCTCCTCCAGGATCAAACACCAGAAGAAGCCTCATCCAATGAGCCATCTTCTTTCACTAAGACTCACGAAATCAGCTGGGGTTTACCCTTTCTGGAAGCACCAAAGTATTTTGGACATCCTCTATTTTAAAAACAAAGCAAACAACCTCCACAAATGCTGGAAACACTGGTCATTGCCATATTAAGTTGCATCTATGCTCAAACTCTACGTTTCCAACCTTGAGTCGATATTAAGTTGCATCTATGCTCAAACTCTAGGTCTCCAACCTTGAGTCACCAGATGTTCTTGGACTACAACTACCAGAAATACTGGCCAGCACAGCTAGCGATGAAGGCTTCTGGGAGTTGCAGTCTGAGAACATCTGGGGAGCCCGGTTTGAGAACCACTGGACTAGATGAAGTCCAACGCCCCACTGTCCAAATAAAGACTCAGATATCTGGGGAGCCCAGTTTGAGAACCACTGGACTAGATGAAATCCAATGCCCCACTGTCCAAATAAAGACTCAGAAATGCCCCAGATCAAATCATATGTCCTATAGATCTAATCTCAGATGAAAGCATTAAGGTAAGATTTCTGGGCCAGAGGTGTGATTCCAGATGTGAAGAACACTACTGTGAAATGCCATTAGTGTTCCACTCAATGAAACCCACAAGTATTTTCAGAAGCATCAGAACAAGTCCACCCCATCCACTCCTGCTTGACTTATCAATACCGGCAGCTCTGTAACAGACCGATGTCTCTATAAACCTTCCCAGATGATTAATACGTTGATATCATCAGGTTTACCTGTATATCAACTATAAACCAGTTGTGCACCAGTTGTCAATACCAGCAGCTCTGTAACAGACCGATGTCTCTATAAACCTTCCCAGATGATTAATACGTTGATATCATCAGGTTTACCTGTATATCAACTATAAACCAGTTGTGTACTTTTCAACCATCAAAGCTCCCCAAAACCTTAGCAGCAGTGGTTTGAGAATAGTGCTCGATATAATATTCTGTTGAAAGTTTTCCTTCCAGAAATAGTTTCCACAGCTCCAGAGAAAATGCGGTTAGCCTCTTTTATGTTCACAATGTAGACCCATGCACTTGAAACCGAAACACAGAAGCAGAAACAAAGCCCAACCGTGTCCTT